GCTTCGCCGGGGGCTCGCCTCGAAATTTAAGTCGGGCCTGTCCCTCTACTGGGGGAATAGTCAAACATAGTCAATACATAGTCTGGGAACTATTTTTTGACCAGTTGTGGCCATCTTTCGGGTATGTTTTGGGGTATGTTTAATTGTTCGTCCAAAATCGGCCTGTAGGGGGACAGGCCCGACTTAACTCGAGCTCCGTCCTTCGCGTGGCGTCTTCCCAGGCGGTCCATTGGACGGTGGGGGGTACAATCATGATGGGCTTGTTTTCTACCCCCACCACCATAAGTTGGAGAGGGAGGGGGTCCTCATCCTCCTCCTCCTCCTCGTCCTCCTCCTCCTCCTTGTCCTCCCCCTCCGTCCCCCCCAACTTATGGTGGTGGTGGTGGTGGTGGAAAACAGTCCCTTCAAATCAGGAGGGAGAGACACACAGAAACGCATCATCGTCGAAGCCCAGGAAATAAGGGGGACAGAAGGGAAGCGGAGGGGAAGACGACAGGCCAGAAAATATGGGGAAAGGTGGGGAATCCTGGGATGTGGGCCTGTTTCTCCCTGTGTCTCGCGCGAATCTAGCTTTTACCGGAAGAGGTTCGCTCTCGCCCCGCCGACCAAGCAAGTGTGTCTCGCACGAGTCGGGCGAAGAGGCCAGAGCACCAGTCTTGGCGGGGCCCACCCGGAGTCCGAGGACCAGTGTGTGTGTGTGTGTTGTGTGTGTTGTGTGTTGTGTGATGTGTTGCGTGTTGTGTGTTGCGTGTTGTGTGTTGTGTGTGTTGTGTGTGTGTGTTGTGTGTTGTGTGTGTGTTGTGTGTGTTGTGTGTGTGTGTGTTTGTGTGTGTGCGTGCGCGCGTGCGTGCGTGCGTGCGTGCGTGCGTGTGTGTGTGTGTGTGTGTGTGTGGTGTGTGTGTGTGGATGGGCCTTGCCAGGATCGTTGTGTCTGCGGGTGTGGCCGCGGTGCCTCCCCGCGTGAACTGCCAGTCGGCGGCGAGCGAGGGGGGGGGGAAGTGGGAAGGACGTTGCCTTCTCGGAAGATCTCAGACGGTTCGGAGGCCCCCGGCCTGCTGAGCAGTTTGCTAGGCCTTCCCCGAAGACAGGAAAAGCTTCTCAGAAGGCGCGAGTGCTTCGGAGAAGTCCCGCCGCCTTCTGAAAAGGCCTTCTCACTCTCACGTCCCCACCTCGCTCGCCGCCGAGCCAGGCAGCGTGAGCACAGGCTGGCCGCTGGGCCACTTCATTTCGAAACTCTTCGCGCTGGCTGTGAGTGTCCTCCCTCCTCTTCCTCCCTCTGCGGCCGCGCTCCGCCTTTGTCTCTCCCCCCCTCCTTGCCGCGGGACAGCCGGTGCCTGCCATTGCCTCGCACAGTAGAGCGCCTCTGCCTCGCTGCGACAAAACGAGCGTGCATAGTTATCATTCTTCTAACGAGGAACCTGTCGTGCTCGCAGGGATGGCTCCAGGTCAGGTGGTCGCCTCCCTTCTCCTGCCTCGCCTCCCCCGCCTCAGGGCGCCAACAGCACCGAGGAGTGCCCGCTGTGGTGCCGCAGCAGCAGGCGTGCCAAGCAGCAGTCGTGCAGCTACGCGCGGTGCTCTTCCTGCCCGATGTGTGCCTCGAAGGAGGCCGAGGAGGCCCCCCCCGGCCGCGGTAGCCCGCGGTCCAGCGGCCGATGCAGCCCGATCCGAAGAACTGACCGATTCGATCCGATTTTGCGATTTGGGTGTCGACTGGTCTCGCCCTGCTCCTACGTAGTCCTGCTTCTCCCCTGCCCTGCCCCCCCCCCATCCGGGCAGGCCCCTCTCCAGGGCTTGGGAACGTACACTCTTTGCCGACGCTGAGAAAACCTTGCCCAGCCGCTGTTGAGATCCCCCGAGAACTCACGCGATCGCGCGCACACGTGGGGCAGTCGGGCGCACGGTGGGCAGTCGCGCGCACGCGCTCACTTACAAGTGCATATCCACATGCGCTCAACTTCACGCAGTTTCTTGCGTCTGCACGTAGGGTTGAACATCATTTAGCCCATACCGGTGCCACTATTGAACATGCTCGTACGTGCATGGTGCACCCATGCGTACAGTTGCCTCACACTTGCAACCCGCTCACATTCACAGACGCATGCAATCGATCATTTACCCTCACGCTTATCAGCACCGTTGCACCAGCATTTGCGGCGCGTGTACGCTTTCGCCGTCGCTTGAGCACACTTGCGCACACACACAAGTGGCCAGACCGAGGCGCCGGTCTGGACTGCGCGGCAACGCACAGTTTAACACATCGGCGCCTGCGGTGGGCTCACTTGGTTCGGCTTCCTATGCAGCTTGTCTGTAGGGGTCCAGTATGCAGTTTTCAAGGCTAATGGATGCTTTGCGCGATCCAGAATCGGGGGCTCGTGTTCTCTGGCCGTGGCACGTGGTCTCTGGTCGTGGTCTGTGTGCCACGTTCCTCCCCTCCACCCCCGTTCCCCTCCCGTCCCCTCAGGTCCCCCCCCGGTTCCCTCAATCAACTCCGCCTCTCCGCTCTGCCTCCTCTGTCCGTGTCCTTCCTCCGCTCTCGACCGCCGCGGATGAAGTTGCCGGCTGATGGCCCTGCCCAGCTGGTCATTCTTGCAGTCAGTGATTCAGCAGTTGGTCAGCCGGCCTCGCGAAAAGCGAATCACGGGCTGCTCACATGGAGTAGAAGGCAATCGCCACCATTGCACCACGGAGCGGGTCTATTTTTGTTACCCCTCCGCCCACCTCAGGGCAACGGCAGCATCCCTCCCTTCCCTTCCACCGCACTCCCAGACCAAGCCCTATGCCTCCACTCTCTCCGCCCCCCTCAGCCCGTCTGTTGCCTTCCTCCCTCCCAGCCTCCCTCCCTCGCTGCATGTCGTGCATGTCCTCAGCGCCAGGGGCGCCCCGGTGTCCTCGCCCCGCGCCCCGCGCCCCGCGGTTGCGCAGCAGCGGCGTCGCAGACCCGCTCCGCCCTCGGAGGAGGAACAGCCTGCCACCCTCTCGCGTGGCGAAAACTCACGAAGGATGGGCTTCGGGCCGTCTTCGTCCTGCGGGGGCCCTCACTGGGCCCCGCGACCGTCAAAGAACGACCGTCCGTGGTGGAGCGCGGGGCCCACAGGAGAAGGTCCAGAGTTTCAACGAGGGACCGCGTCGTGAGAGCGTCGCGGCGGCGGCGTTCTGGGAGGCACCGATGCTGCTGCCCGTTCCCCCTGCCCTCGCCTGCCTCGAAGCTCCTGGGTGGCGACCTCGCCACCGTCGCGTTCGACTCGGAATCCTGGCCTGAGCCGCGCACCCCCAGGGAGAGGTCCAGGGAGTGGCGGTATCGGTACTTGCCCCTGTCCCCAAAAGGAGGACGACCTGTTGGTCAGACCTCAGGAGGAAAAAAAAAACAGACACAATTAATCGTCGGTCCCCAAGAAAAGATGGGAAACTATGGCAATTGGGTGGGAAGACGAAAACCCAGAAAATATAGAAAAATATGGGGAATCATTTTATTTGTGTGTATTTATTTGTGTGTCCTGGGGCCCCTTGAAGACCCCGCCCGTCCCTCTCTCTATCTCTCTCTCTTTCGTTCTCCCAGGGGGGTCGACAGGCACTGGAGCGAGGGCCCACACCAGTTCCTGCTCGCTCTGAGCAGGGATCGCTTTTTCGGAGCGGCTGCCGGCGCCGTCTGCTTGCAGGAGGGGTGTGCCTGCCCAGCAGCGGCCGCTGCCGGTTTGGGACAGCATGTGGTGTCGGGCAGCGGCCCCAGTCGTTGCGGCCCCCCATCGGGGGAGGACGGGGAGGCGTCACCTCTTTGCCACCCTGGGGGCGGCCACCTCCAGCGAGATGGGGTCCTCGATGCCTCCCCGCAGACGGGCCGACAAGGGGATCTCCCGAGCGAAGGGGGGGGGGTCGCCGCACCACCGGGGGGGGGGGCCTTCCCTGGCGCCTCGCGCGCCCGTGGCGGTGCTGTCGGCCTGCGTTGCTCCCGCAGCCGGGACGGCCAACCTCCAGGGCTCCCTCCTCTTCCTCCTCCTCCTCCTCCTCCTCCTCCTCCTCTTCCTCCTCCTCCTCTTCCTCCTCCTCCTCCTCGTCCTCCTCCGACGGATGCCGATTCCGATTCGATGCGACCTCGGATTCCGCTTCGAGCCCCGAGTTCTCAACGGAGGCTTCATAGCCCGCCGATGTCCGTCGATTCGACCTCTCCCGACCTGGTTGCCGATTTCCGCCGGTCCGATTCATGGCGATCGCCGATCCGACTCGTCGATCCGATTCTGGGCTCTCCTGAACCTCTCCCTCTCCCCGTCCCTGTGGAGGACGATCAATGGACAGGAAGCATGATGCCAAATGATTTCCAGATGTCTAAAACATGTCTGACACATGATTAAACATACGTTAGACATGTTTAGGCCACTTTTCCTACATGTTCGACACACACTGAAAATGCAATGTTAGGACTGTTAGGGTGTCCATGGTCGTGGCATCCACAACCCCATCCCCTGCTTCGCCTGCGCTCCTCCACCCCCTCGTCCCACGCGCCAGGGCAACGTCACGGGAGGAGGAGGAGGATGAGGAGGAGGAGGAGGAGGAGGAAGAACCTCTCTGGGCTCTCCTGAACCCCTCCCTCTCCCCATCCCCTGCTTCGCCTGCGCTCCTCCGCCCCCTCGTCCCACGCGCCAGGGCAACGTCACAGGGGAGGCAGCCGCGCCAGCCAGGCCGCTTGAGGCGGCGGGTGAGGCGGCCGAGGCGGCCGAGGTGCAGACGAGTGAAGCCGAGTCGTCGCCAGCCCTGCCCGAGGATCAGAGAAGCAAAGGCACCCATACCTCTACCCCTCTCTCGTGTTCCCCTTTTTGGGCCTCCTGGGAAGTCCTCGTCGCCACCGCTGGATTCGCCTCGAGATCCTGGCCAGAACGCACCCCAGGAGAGGTATGGGTACCTGTTGGTTTCCCCAGAGGAGACTATTGATAGGGCGCCCGAGGAGGCCAGCGAGCGATGGTGCTCAGATGGCGGCGGGTGGAGAGGGAGGAAACGCCGGCAGCGCAGGACACGGAGGAGATGACCGAAAAAGCACACACGGAGGAGATGACCGAAAAAGCACAGGCGGTTCCAGTGGTGCCGGAGGAGGAGGGGGCAACGCCAGCGTCGCAGGCAAACGACACCGAGGAGATTGCCGACGCAGTGCAGACGGCGCCAATGATTGGAGAGGAAGAGGAGGCAACGCCGGCAGCGCAGGCCAACGACACGGAGGAGATGACCGATGAAGCACAGGCGGCTCCAGTGGTGCCAGAGGAAGAGGGGGCAACGCCAGCGTCGCAGGCAAACGAAACCGAGGAGATTGCCGACGCAGTGCAGACGGCGCCAATGATTGGAGAGGAAGAGGAGGCAACGCCGGCAGCGCAGGCCAACGACACGGAGGAGATGACCGATGAAGCACAGGCGGCTCCAGTGGTGCCAGAGGAAGAGGGGGCAACGCCAGCGTCGCAGGCAAACGAAACCGAGGAGATTGCCGACGCAGTGCAGACGGCGCCAATGATTGGAGAGGAAGAGGAGGCAACGCCGGCAGCGCAGGCCAACGACACGGAGGAGATGACCGATGAAGCACAGGCGGCTCCAGTGGTGCCAGAGGAAGAGGGGGCAACGCCAGCGTCGCAGGCAAACGAAACCGAGGAGATTGCCGACGCAGTGCAGACGGCGCCAATGATTGGAGAGGAAGAGGAGGCAACGCCGGCAGCGCAGGCCAACGACACGGAGGAGATGACCGATGAAGCACAGGCGGCTCCAGTGGTGCCAGAGGAAGAGGGGGCAACGCCAGCGTCGCAGGCAAACGAAACCGAGGAGATGACCGATGAAGCGCAGGCGGCGCCAGTGGTGCCAGAGGACACCCTGGAAGCAGACAGCACGCAGGCATTGCCAGCAGCTCCTGCGACCAGCGAGGGCAGCAGCCAGGCAGATGCCCTGCCAGTAGTGCCCGAAGAGGCCACCGAGGAGGCCAGCGAGGAGACGGAGGCGTTGCCGCGGATCGCGGACAGCAGCAGAGGGGAGGGGCCGCGTGCGCTTCCCGAGGCGGACGCCGAGGAGGCCTCCCCGACGGAGTCGCCGCGAGCCGCGCCCGAGGAGGCTGCCCAGCCGACCGACGGCGAGGAGGATCCGCCAGCGGTGCAGGGCCAGGCCAGCGACATGGCCGGCGAGGGGGTGGCACCGCCCACCGCGTCCGAGGCCCGCCAGGAGACCGCCGGAGCCGAGGCGCTGACGGCGGGACCCGAGGAGGCCGGCAAGCAGGAGGGGCGGTGCAAAGATGGGGTTCTGGGGCATGGGGCCCCATCGGACGGGGCTAGGACGAGGATATACGTCCGTGCCAGAGCGTTCAGGCACGCTATCTGAGCGTTCCGGATCGCGTTCCGGAGCGCTCTGAGAAGGCCGCAGAGATTTTGGATATATTTTGACCGGATGAAATCATCGTCCCAGCTTCGTCTTCCCCTAGGGGCAGCAAATCAGGAGGGGAATAACACACACAGACACAATTTGTCGTCGATTCCCCAGGAAAGATGGGAACATATGGGAAGGGCGGGGAAGACAAAGATTTAGAAAATACATATGAAAATATAGGGAATCCTATTATTTGTGTGTATTTGTTTGCATTGTCCCTGGGCCCCATTTAGCAAAGGCGAACAAGAAATAAAACAGCAGAAGCATAAATGTCCGGAGTTCCGCGCGCATGTCTTGTATCGGCGCTGGCCCCCGTGGCGGCGCCTCCAGTGCCGCATCTGGCGCGCTCCTCGCGCCAGTGAGGGGGCTTCAGCCGGAGGTGGACAGACCTCCTACCCTGACACGTCGATTAGCGGATTGGCCGTTTTCGGTTCGCGAGAGGGTGTCGCGGCCGTCATTTTTGCGGGTCCAGGTCCGTCGGTTTCGGTCCCAGGCCGCTTTCACTAAAGGGAGGTGCACTAAAGGGAGATTTGTCCACCGCCGATTCAGTGCAGATCCAAGTAGTCCGCGCGGACCTCCGAAAGTGGATGCTTTGATGCTTCATCCTCCCTCCAGAAGGGATCCCGAGCTCAACCTCCACGTTTTGGCGCCAGTCGCCCTCGGGGCCCCACTCCTCTGTCTGGGGTCCCACCTCTTCGGAGGGCACCCAACTATACACCAACACCGATCCTGGCCCAGGATCACCCTGGGCCCAGGATCGGTGCATATGCCTTCTTGCGCAAGGCAGGAGGGCGTATACACCGATCCTGGGCCCAGGGTGATCCTGGCCAGGATCGGTGTTGGTGTGTAGTTGGCGCCCTCCTGCCTCCGAGTCGCCGGCAGGACGTGGGCCAGGCCCAGGCGCAGCAGCAGCGCGACGGCTCCCGGGAGGAGCGGGCCGAGGAGGACTCGCGGCCGTGGTGGGCGCCCAAGGTCGCCGCTGATTTTGAAGCGGTCCCGAGGGAGGCGGGGTCCCGGAGGTCTCGGGCCCACTTCGGGTTCCTGGGGCCCTACAGTCTCAGGAGGGGAACAACCAAGGTCGCCGTGGACTGGAGCGGTGCCGAGGGAGGCGGGGTCCCGGAGGTCTCGGGCCCACTTCGGGTTCCTGGGGCCCTAACATCTCAGGAGGGGAACAACCAAGGTCTCCGTGGACTGAAGCGGTGCAGAGGGAGGCGGGGTCCCTGAGGTCTCGGGCCCACTTCGGGTTCCTGGGGCCCTACAGTCTCAGGAGGGGAACAACCAAGGTCGCCGTGGACTGAAGCGGTGCCGAGGGAGGCGGGGTCCCGGAGGTCTCGGGCCCACTTCGGGTTCCTGGGGCCCTACAGTCTCAGGAGGGGAACAACCACACCGACGCAGATTGTCGTCGATCCCCTGGCGAGTATGGAGCATGTGGGAGGTCGTGGGGAAGACGAACGTCCAGAAACTGCAGGAGAGCATAATTCGGGGATCCTGGGATCTGTCTTTTTGTTACTTGTGTGCTACTGGGCCACTTCAGTAACCGAAGCCCGTCGACCATCGGGGGCTGTCCCGCAGCTGTTTTGCAGAGCTTATGCGTCCAATTGCCGCCGTAGAGGTGGAGCCTTCCGAGCCGCCCTTCGAGTAGGGGATCGACTTGACCCCATCCTAAATTGTCTCGACGGGGTTGCGGAGCGTATGTAGAATGACGTATACTTTTCGTAGATTTAAGGGACATTCTACGCATTTCCCGTAGATTCGATGAATACCTCAATTTGGGGGGTACAGTCGGGGCCCTGAAGAAGGAACCCTTTTCGTTGGGGAGGGGCTCCCTGTTCCTTAATTGTTTCGCAGCTTGCCTTGGATTTTCCTTGTGTTTTCGTTAGGAAATCGAAGTTTAACTTATGGAAAAAAGGGGCCTCGTTCCTTATTTAGGGTTCCTTAGGTCAACGCCTCGACTGTAAATCCAATATGTAGCCGATCCCCTACTCGAGCCCTGGGACGGGCGCCCCCCATGGCGGAGCAGCCTATTCCACACGGCTCCTCGCCCGCGGATCCACGAGCCCCCAGTGCCGTCAAAGACGAGGCTCGGGCTGGCGAGCCGGGCCCGGGGGAAGACCCCCCAGTTCCTCCTCTTCCTCCTCCTCCTCCTCCTCTTCCTCCTCCTCCTCCTCCTCCTCCTCCTCCTCATCATCATCATCATCATCCTCATCATCCTCTGTCCTCCTCTGTCCTCCTCCTCCTCCTCCTCCTCCTCCTCCTCCTCCTCCTCCTCCTCTGTCCTCCTCCTCCTCCTCCTCCTCCTCCGTCCCCCTCGGGGCCCTCATTTCCTGCCTACCAGCAAGGCCGAGTACGATGAGGTCACGGACGAGGCCAGCAAAGAGGAGCCTGCGGTCGAGGGTGAGGCGCCCTGGGCTCTGCCCGAGCAGGCCGAGAAGGGCAGTGAGGCGGAGGCGCCTGCGCCCAGGGAGGATCCCGCGGAGGCCCCAGTCCAGGACGAGGTGCTGACAGCCGTGGTGCCCAAGGCGGATGATGAGGATCCCTCAGAGTTCAAGGAACGGACCAACGACAAAGCGCGTTTGCCGTCGGTTCCCGAGGAGGAGGGGGAGGAGGAGGAAGAGCTGCCTTCACCCAAGGAGGAGTTGCTGAGGCTGCCCGAGGCCGAGGACGAGCAGCAGCAACCAGCGATGGAGCAGACGGTATTGGAGCCCCCAGCTGCCGTGGCCGAGGCATTCGAGCCCCCTGCCACGGAGCAGGCCGAGACGCCAGCGCCCGAGGAGACCGAAGGCGATGCGAGCGAGACGAGCACACCGCCGGCGGCAACCGAGGAGGTCACGGAGGAGAAGCTGCCGTCGGTGGCCGACGAGGAGGAGGCCCCCGTGGCCACGGGGGAGCTGCGGCCGCAGCTGCCTCAGACCGAGGGGCCGTCGACGCAGGACGGGGCCGCGGCAGCGGCCGCGTCCCAGGGGGCGAGCGCAGGGGTGGAGATCACAGAGCAGACCAACGACATCGCGGCGCTGCCGCCGGTCCCCGACGAGGAGGAGTGGCCGAGGCCCCCCGCCGAGCGCGACGAGCGGCTGCTGGGCCAGAGGCGGGCGGGCGATGGCGTGGCCAGCGAGCGCGAGCCTCCGCCCCCGGCGCACGAGGAGACGGCCGGCGAGGACGGCGGAGGGCGTCAACTGCACACCTGGACCGACCTCGACCAGACGTGAGAGTGACCCTTCGCCGGAGTGTCCTTTGGTGCGGGCCTTGATGGTGTCCCCCGATCGCGTAGCGCGCTGCGGCAGCAAGCGGCCTGCGCGCCAGGGTCTGGCCGCCCGCGTCCCCCGTGCAGCCGCGCGCCATGGAGACCACTCTCGCCCAGGGTGACTCTTGGCGTGCAGCCGACGATTCTCGCGCGCTCGGTTTCGCGCCTTTGCTTGCTTGTCGCTGTCAGATTAGGCTCGCGCGCAGCCCGCCCGACCTTTCGGACGCCACCTGCGCTCCCGCTTGCGGCCGCGAACAAAAAAAGAAGAAGTGTAGCCGACGATCCTGGCCAGGCCGATCCTTGGCCCGGGAGCGGAGCACATGCCCGCCTGGCCGAGCCAGGAGGGCGTGCATGTGCCGAGATCCTGGGCCCCGGAGGTGCGCGGCCAGGATCGGCGCACGGACTTGGGGGGTGACGCCCTGCCATATATAGGACGAGGAGGCCGGCGGGCCTCTCGCGGGCCCGGCGGCGCCGAGCGCGCAGGAGCCGGGCGGCGGCGCCGCGGCGGATGCGCCGCCATCGGCGCCGGTGGCGGAGCAGCCGGAGGCGGAGCAGGAGCAGCCGGAGGCGGAGCAGCCAGAGGCGGAGCAGCCGCCGGCGGCGCCGGTGGCGGAGCAGCCGGAGGCGGAGCGGCTGGAGGCGGAGCAGCCGGAGGCGGAGCAGCCGGAGCCGTCTGCCGCCGAGCGGAAGGCGGAGGAGGAGTACAAGACGAACCTGGCGCGCGCGTTAGAGGATGCCAAGGCTCAGAGGAGGAAAACAGATACCGCTGCTGTCGGGGGCAACGCTAGGGGGGGATAGTTAGGATGCATCGACCCCCAATCGCCCATAGCCCCAACCTGCCCAGGAGCGTGCGGATGCACCTTCGGGGGCCTATCGCCGATCTATCGGCGGTGTATCGCCGATTCCAGGTCGATGCATCCCCCCCCTTTGCCAGTCCCCCCCGATCGTTGCCCTCACGCGCGTTCTGGAGAGCACCCGTCGCCAGGGCTGGATCCTGCTGAAAATTCTGGTCAGAGCACTCCCTGGGAGGGGTCCGTGGGGCAGCGAGGTCAGTACCCATTTTCGGCGACACGTGAGAGTGACCTTTCGCCGGAGCGACCTTCAGTGCGGGCCCAATGGGGCCCCCCGATCGTTGAACGCGACGCGATAGCAGCGGCTTGTGCGCCCGGCGGCGTCCCCTAAAGGGCCCTCTGGGCCGCGCACTGAAGGTCACTCTTACCTAGGTGCAGTCGGGGCGTTGACCTAAGGAACCCTAGCTAAGGAACGAGGCCCCTGTTTTCCACAAGTTGAACTTGGATTTCCAACCGAAAACCTAAGGAGGACAACCAAGGGCAAATTGTGAGACAATCAATCGGGCCGGACGGAAGGGGGGGATTGGGAAAGGGGGGATTACGAAATCTGCTGCATGCAGCTGGTTTCGGCCTCACCGAGGGGCCCATTCCTCGATACATGGGCGCCTCCCGGCGCCGGGAGGCGCCGTGAGAATCAGCTACTATTTCGGGGGGGGGGGTCTCTTCCAGGCTATCTTGGAGGGCCTGGGGGGGGACTGGGGACGATGTTTTGGAGGGTTCTCCCACGGGGGGGGGGTCTAAAACTTCTCGTCTGGGAGGGTTGAGACCCCCTCCCTTTTATTACGAAACCTGGAGTACGTGAGCTGATTCTCGAACCCCCCCTTTGCTAATTATCCCCCCCTTTCGCCCGACCCGAAGCAAGGGACACGGAGCCCCTCCCCGACTGTGGGGTCACGCCTGCGTGTCGCCGATGCTGCCCCCCCCTGAAAGGCTGAGGCCGACTCCCGGGCGAAGGCGGCGGAGGCCGACGCCCAGGCTCCACGCCCGGGGGCTTGGGCGTTCACAGCCTTGTGCAAGTCGATTACAGTGGAGACCCATGACAAGGAACACCCTGCTTGCCTCCAGGGTGCCCTGGGTTTCTTGGGTTTCGATGGTTTTCCCATGGAGAGCGTGACGTTCCCACACGACAAATCGATGGACGTCCTGAGGTCTCAGGGTTGGGTTTCTTGCGGAAGGTTTCTTGTGGTCGGGCCTTCACTGCAATGGAGAGGAAGCGTGCTGCCAAATGATTACCAGATGTCTAAAGGATGTTTCAAACATGTTTCAGAAATTGTAAACACAAAAAATCATGTTTGACATATTTTTAGAACATGTTGGACACATGTTAAACACATGTTTAATTCAATGATATGACTGTTAGAGTGCCCATTATCATAGAAACATGTTTGAATCATTCTTAGAACATGTTTGACACATTTTAAACACTCGTTTAATTTAACGATATGACTGTTAGAGTGCCCATTATCATAGCCGCTGGCCTGCGCAGAGGTGCCCCTGGCGGCCTCGCAGGCCTCGCAGAGCGCTGGACGTGGACGTTTCTCGCCTGTGTGTGGGGGGAGAATCAGGGGGGAAAAGACCCACAGACACAATCAATCGTCGATTCCCTAGAAAATATTTGAAATATGGGAAGTGGGGGGAGACAAAGACCCAGAACATATAGGAAAATACAGGGAATCCTGTTATTTGTGTGTATGTATGTGTGTGTCCAAGGGACCCTTCGTGGACGTTTCCCGCCTGTGGGGGGGAGTAGGCCTCCCAGATGGGGCCCCAGTAGATGGGGCCAGAGGTTTGGGCCGCATCGCCGACGCGTCGGCGGTGCATAGGCGATGAGCGCGATCCTCTGAATCCCATCTACTCGCATCCAGCGCTACTCGAGGTCCTCGGGGGCACGTCTCCAGGTCGGTGGACATGGGTCTAATCCCGGGCGCGGATAGGCGAAGGAGGAAGCCGTGGCTGAGGCGAAGGAGGCGGCAGAGGCACCGTGGGCCGTACCGGAGGTCGACAACAAGGAGACCAGCGTCGACGAGCTGGAGAAGGAGCTGGCGAAGAGGCGGGAGGAGCTGAAGAGGATGGAGAAGGAGCAGGAGGTGAAGCTGCTGAAGAGGATGCTGAGGGAGCTGGAGGCCGGCGGCGACGGGCCGGAGCAGGACCAGGGCCCTCCAGCCACGGCGGGTTCGGCCAACGGGACCAGCGGCGAGGAGCCGCAGAGGGAGCAGGCGCCGGCGGCCGCCCCCGAGGCGGCCAACGGGACCAGCGCCGAGGAGCCGCAGAGGGAGCGGGCGCGGGCGGCCGCCCCCGAGGCGGCCAACATGACCAGCGCCGAGGAGTTGCCCGAGGCGGCCAACGAGACCAGCGACGAGAAGCTGGCGAAGGACTGGTCGGCCTCGCCCTCCAGCGCGGTGCCGCAGGACCTCTACGAGGAGGCGCACGGCGGGGCCGCCAATCGGTCCAGCGACGAGCTGGCCAACGAGGCGGAGGCGGAGCAGCCGGAGCAGCCGGAGGCGGAGCAGCCCGAGCCGTCTGCCGCCGAGCGGCAGGCGGAGGAGGAGTACAAGATGAACCTGGCGCGCGCGTTGGAGGATGCCAAGGCTCAGAGGAGGAAGAAGGATGCCGCTGCTGTCGGGGGCGACGATGGGGGAGGGATAGGATGCATCGACCCCCGATCGCCCATTGATCGCCGATAGGCGCCCGATAGCCCCAACCTGTCAAGGAGCATGCGGACTCACCATCGGGGGCCTATCGCCGATCTATCGGCGGAGTATCGCCGATTCCAGGTCGATGCACCCCTCCCCTCTGCCAGTCCCCCCCCGATCGTTGCCCTCACGCGCGCTCGAGAGAGCACCCGTCGCCAGGGCTGGATCCTGTTGAAAATTCTGGTCAGAGCACTCCCTGGGAGGGGTCCGTGGGGCAGCGAGGTCAGTACCCATTTTCGGCGACACGTGAGAGTGACCTTTCGCCGGAGCGACCTTCAGTGCGGGCCCAATGGGGCCCCCCGATCGTTGAACGCGACGCGATAGCAGCGGCTTGTGCGCCCGGCGGCGTCCCCTAAATAATATAAACGAGGCCCCTGTTTTCCACAACCTAGAGCAAATTGTGAGACACTCAAGGGGCACGGAGCCCCTCCCCAACGAAGAGGGTTCCTTCTTCAGCGCCCCGACTGTGGTGTCACTCTTGCGTGTAGCCGATTCTGCCCCCCCCCAAGGCTGAGGCCGACTCCAGGGCGAAGGCGGAGGCCGTCCCCGATGCCGCTAACGGGACCAGCGACGAGGAGCCGCAGAGGGAGCAGGCGCCGGCGGCCGCCCCCGAGGCGGCCAACGGGACCAGTGCCGAGGAGCCGCAGAAGGAGCAGGCGCCGGCGGCCGCCCCCGAGGCGGCCATCGGGACCAGCGCCGAGGAGCTGCAGAGGGAGCAGGCGCCGGCGGCCGCCCCCGAGGCGGCCAACGGGACCAGCGACGAGGCGGCCAACGCCAGCGACGAGAAGCTGGCGAAGGACTGGTCGGCCTCGCCCTACAGCGCGGTGCTGAAGGACCTCTACCTGGCGCACGGCACGGCCGCCAATCGGTCCAGCGGCGAGGAGCTGCAGCAGGAGCAGGCCGCCCCCGACGCCACTAACAGGACCAGCGACGAGGAGCCGCAGAGGGAGCAGGCGCCGGCGGCCGCCCCCGAGGCGGCCAACATGACCAGCGCCGAGGAGCTGCCCGAGGCGGCCAACGAGACCAGCGACGAGAAGCTGGCTAAGGACTGGTCGGCCTCGCCCTACAGCGCGGTGCTGAAGGACCTCTACCTGGCGCACGGCGAGGCCGCCAATCGGTCCAGCGGCGAGGAGCTGCAGCAGGAGCAGGCCGCCCCCGATGCCGCCAACGAGACCCGCGACGAGGAGCCGGAAGGGGAGCAGGCGCCGCTGACCGCGGCCAACAGGGTCGGCGACGAGGAGGCGCAGCAGGAGCAGGCGCCGCCGGCCGCACCCGAGGCGGCCGACGAGAGCAGCGACGAGCAGGAGCAGGCCACGCCTGCGGCCCCCAAGGATCGGGGGAGCGTAAGACCCGGGTTTGCCAGGACTCGGGTTCGCCATCGTTTTTTGACGACCGCGCCTCGGATTTTGACGAAGGGGAGTTTCGTGTGATGTCTGCAGCGGGAGGCCTCGTCAAAATGCAGGCTCGGCCTCGTCATTTTTTTGACGACCTCGTCGGGGATTTCCGAGTCCCCTGTACCCAGGTCTTACGTCCCCCTGAAAGGAGGTGTTGGAGAAGCAGGGGCCCAAGAGGGACGTCGCCGCACCCGGCTGGCTGCCCAAGGATCCGGGCTGCTACCTGTGGCTGCCGAACGGCTGCCCGGAGAACCCCGCGAGCCGCTTCCCGAGGGTGTGGCGCCGAGACGGTCGGGGCAGCGAGAGCTTCGAGGCCTGCGCCCTGAGGAAGCGCGGCTTCGACAGGTTCTGCCAGACGAACGACACGATCTTCTACTACATCGACGAGCCCGACGCCGCAGATGCGCCGACGGTGGACGGCTCCGAGCCAGGGGCCTCCGAGCAGGAGGTGGACCAGGGCGACGCGACGGCGATCCCCATGACATCCACCACGCTGGCGGCGCTGGACCCGCGAGCCTCGCGGCAGGACCGGCTGATCGCGTCGGACGAGTCCATGGCCACGTCTGGGCTGCGCCGTCCCCCGATGCCCAGCGAACCAGGCTGTTACCTGTGGATGCACCACGGTTGCCCGATGCACCCGCACCACGACGTCCGGGTCCAGTGGTACCTGGACAGGTTCCGTAATAGGAATATCAGTAATACGAATCACAATAAGAGAATTTAGTATTCCATTTGAACTAGAGTGCTACTGATGATGCCAATCATACTTGTTCATTGCGTGGATCTTCCCATATGTGCATCTCATACTCCTGTCGCCTCTCGCTGAAGAGCTCTGTCTGTTAGCATCTGGGTGTGAGAGCGAGTCGGCGTGGACGACGGGCGCGACAACGACGACGGCAACAGCGACGACTTCAGTGACTGCAATGGGCTTCTTCCAGGAGAGACGAGGGAAGCGCAAGTGGAAGAGCAAGTGGGCATTGGACCACCAAAGGGGAGGAGACTGAGTATGAGTGATCTGAGTGTGAGTGAGTCTGAACGTGAATGAACCCAGGTATGGTTGAGTGTGAGTGTCAGTGATTCTAGGTATGAGAGAGTATGAGTACGAATGCGTCTGAGGATGCGTATATATGATTATGCATTCGTCTGGGTGAGAGTGAATATGAGGGTGGGTAAGGCTGGGTGAGAATTAGCACGAGTATGAGTATAACGACTATGAGCCTCGGTCTGTAAATGGGTCTGACTACGAGCGGGTGTGGCTACGAGTGAATATGAGGGTGGGTTGGTCAGAGTGTGAGTGAGTATGCGTGTGATTATGTCTGGGACTGGGTGCGTCTGAGTATGAGTAGGATGAGCATGAAACTGAGTCTGGGTGGGTCTGGGTATGAGTGATTTTGGCTACGAGTGAGTCTGAGGGTGGGTGGGTGCAAGGGTGAGTGAGTGTGAGTGTGCGCACGTCTTGGTGTGAGTGATTTTAAGTATGAGCATGAAGAGGACGAGTCTGAGTACGGGTGAATCCGAGCCCGAGTGCGTGTGAGCAAACTGAGTCTGGGACATCCTCACACTCTGGGCCCCCTGGAATGCGAAAGCCAGCGCCTCGCCCGAGACATCCTCAGAATCTGCTTGGAACGCAGACGAGGAGTGCGGAAATCAGCGCCTCGCCCGAGACATCTTCACCCTGGCAGCAAACGAGCTTGACCAACAGCACAGGCAAACCGCTCGAGGCATCATCAAAACCTAGCCCCCCCCCCCCCTGGGGTGCGGAAGCCAGCGCCTCGCCCGAGACATCCTCCAAACCTCGTGGCAGCAAGCAGGCAAAGCGCCCGAGACGACATCCCCGCCATTTAGGCGCGAACGGATGAGTGCACTACCCCATGGCGCCCCCCCCCTTGTGGGCGAGAGCCATCGCTTCGCCTGGGAGATCCTTCAAACCCGCTCCGAACGCGGAGGATGTTTGGGGCAGCAAACAGGCAAACCGCTCACGACATCCTCGCCAGCTCAGCGCGAACGGAGGAATGCAGTTCTCCTTGGCGCCCCCCCCCTTCAGGAGTGCTGAACCCAGCGCCTCGCTCGAGACATCCTCTGAATGTGCTCCGCCGTCGTCATCATCATCATCATCATCATCATCATCATCATCATCATCATCATCATCATCATCATCATCATCGCCATCATTGTCATCATCAGCATCACCACCACCATCATCATCCTCATCTTCAGCAACAGTATCACCACCACCATCCACATCATCACCATCACCATCACCATCACCATCCTCAGCATCATAGCATTGCATACCATAGCATGACGTATCATAGCTACCTTAGCATGATAAGATACAGTAAGGTAACACAACTGTTCACGCCATACCATAACAGGCATACCACAGCATGGCAGTACCTGATGAGGATAGGGTGAGGGTCTTCATGCGGGCGTTCTCGGCGAGGTTAGAATAATACGTACTCATTGCGTGGAGCTCCCCATATGTGCACCTGTGTGCATGGACCCGACCGTCGTGAGCGTCTAGAGGAAAGGGTTTTTGGATATACACGGACTTGATGTATAAACGGTGTTCTGTATGGTTGAGTGCGAGTGCCATTCAGTCTAGGTGTGAGAGGGTCTGAGTACGAGTGGGTCTGAGAATGCGTAAGTCAGAGTATTAGCGAGTCTGAGTGAGAGTGGTCTGAGTGTGGGTAAGTCTGGGTGTGTGTCGGCCTGACTGTGAGTCTGATGGGTACGGTGTCTGAGTCTGAATGGTTCTGAGTACGAGTGAGTCTGTCTACGAGTGAAAGGGTGGGTCTGAGCGTGAGTGATTCTGAGTGTGTGTAAGCCTGACTGTGAGCGAGCCTGAGGATGAGTATGTTGAGTGAAAGTCTGAGGAGACTGAGTGGGTCTGAATTACGAGTGAGTCTGACTACGGGCGAGTCTGAGGGTGGGTGGGTCTAAGTGTGAGTGAGACTGAGCGTGTGTAAATCTGAGCGTGAGCGCGACTGAGTATGAGTATGATGGGCACGAGTCGGAGTATGATTGGGGCCAAGGACGAGCGAGGTTGAGCATAAACGAGTCTGGGGCATCCTCACACTCTGGGCCCCCTTGGGGTGTCGAAACCAGCGCCTCGCCAGAGGCATCCTCAGAAGCTGCTTGGAACGCAGACGGGTCTGGCCAGCAAAGCAAGCAAACCGCTCGAGACATCCTCGCAAGATGTGCCCCCAGCGTTGCCAGCACCAGCGCCTCGCCTGAGACATCTTCAGACTCTGCTCCGCAAGCGGGGGATGTTGCGGGAGCAAACAGGCAAACTGGTGGAGACATCCCCGCCATTTTGGCGCGACCCGAGGAAGGCAATACCCCTGGCGCCCCCCCCACTTGGGGGCGAAAACGAGCGCCTCGCTCGAGATATCCTCAAAATCTGCTCCGAAAGCGGAGGATGTTGCGCCAGCAAACAGGCAAATGATTGGAGACAGTCCCGCCATTTTAGCCCCCTGGCGGCTCCCCCATGGAGTTGCAGATACCCGCGCCTCGTTCGAGACATCCTCATAATCTGCCCCATCATGATCATCACCACCATCATCAGCATCAGCATCAGCATCACCATCATCACCATCATCATCTCCACCATAACATAGCATGACATTGTTCACTGTGTGGTGCATGGACCCGACCGTCGTGAGCGTCTAGACGAAATATGTTTTGTAGATAAACGGACTTGATGTATAAACGGTGTTTTGTATGGTTGAGTGCGAGTGCCATTCAGTCTAGGTATGAGAGGGTCTGGGTACGAGTGGGTCTGAGAATGCGTAAGTCAGAGTATTAGCGAGTCTGAGTGAGAGTGGTCTGAGTGTGGGTAAGTCTGGGTGTGTGTGTGTCGGCCTGACTGTGAGTCTGATGGGTACGGTGTCTGAGTCTGAATGGGTCTGAGTACGAGTGAGTCTGTCTACGAGTGAATGGGAGGGTCTGAGCGTGCGTGATTCCGAGTGTGTGTAAGCCTGACTGTGAGCGAGCCTGAGGATGAGTATGTTGAGCGAAAGTCTGAGGAGACTGAGTGGGTCTGAGTACGAGTGAGTCTGACTGCGGGCGAGTCTGAGGGTGGGTGGGTCTAAGTGTGAGTGAGACTGAGTGTGCGTCAATCTGAGCGCGAGTGAGTCTGAGTATGACTATGATGAGCACGAGTCGGAGTATGATTGGGGCCAAGGACGAGCGAGTCTGGGGCATCCTCACAATCTGGGCCCCCTTGGGGTGTCGAAACCAGTGCCTCGCCAGAGGCATCCTCAGAAACTGCTTGGAACGCAGACGGGTCTGGCCAGCAAAACAGCAATCCGCTCGAGACATCCTCGCAATATGTGCCCCCAGCGTTGCTAACACCAGCGCCTCGCCTGAGACATCTTCAGACTCTGCTCCGAAAGCGGGGGATGTTGCGGCAGCAAACAGGCAAACTAGTGGAGACATCCCCGCCATTTTGGCGCGACCGGAGGAATGCAATACCCCTTGCCCCGCCCCCCGGCGCAAGCGAGCGCCTCGCTATCCTCAAAATCTGCTCCGAAAGCGGAGGATGTTGCGCCAGCAGACAGGCAAACCAGTGGAGACATGCCCGCCATTTTGGCACGAACGGAGGAATGCAATACCCCTTGGCGGCTCCCCCCTTGGGACTGCTGAAACACGCGCCTCGTTCGAGACATTCGCAACATCGGCTCCGAAAGCGGAGGATGTTGCGCTAGCAAACAGGCAAACCATTGGAGACATGCCCGCCATTTTGGCACGAACGGACGAGTGCAATACCCCTTGGCGGCTCCCCCTTGGGGCTGCTGAAGCCCGCGCCTCACTCAAGACATCCTCAGAATCTGCTCCTCCAACATCATCACCATCACCACCATCATCACCATCACCATCACGATCATGATCACCGTCACCATCATAGCATAGCATCGCATCGCATAGCGTAGCGTATCGTACCATATCAGATCATAACATACCAGAACAGCTATACCGTGCTACACACTACCATCGCATAGCATACCAAAGCATGTCACAACGTACCATACATTAATACGTCATCACGTAACACTACATTAGAAAAACGAGGAGGAAGGATGGGTGAAGGAGCTGGCGCGGCCGGAGTAAGAACACCAATCCCGTCCTTTGGATATGGGGGATCTCATGCCATATCATAATAGCATATCATGACATAGCATACCATGTCATATCATAACATGTCATACCATAGCGTCAGATGACATAGCATAGCATATTACACAAAGACGTTGCATACCACACCAGATCTTGAGTAGGAGGAGGAGGGAGGTTCGAGGGAGTTTGCTCGGCCGGAGTAATAACAACGTAACCCCATTCTCCGGGCACCGAGAATCACATAACCTAGCAGGGCGTACCATAACATATCGTAGCAACATTTTGCATGCAGTAGCATACCATGCCATAACATAGCGTAACAATCCATACTATACCGTACAATAGTGTAACATGACACACCATAACATAACATATGAGTGCGACCCTGGATGTGGAAGAGAAGGGGGGGAGGGGTGTTCGAAGAACTTTGCGCGGTTGGAGTCGTACCACGAACTCCATCCTTTGGAAATGGGGGATCAGAACCCCATCCTCTGGATATGTGGGGTGAAATAACATACCATTTCATGGCTACAAAAAACATATCGTGAGGTAGGGGA